ATAGAGTACTGGGATTACAGGCCATGCCTAGTCATGCCTAGCCTAGTACTTTATATATATATATAATGTGTGTGTAATTGGACCTTCCAAGGAGGATGCTTCCAAGCAGGATGTAGTAGCTTGGACTGGATTTGTCCTCTTGCTTTAAACAACTAAACATAGGACGAAATGTACCACCCAGCATTTTTCCAGCACTGAGCAATGGGAGGTAGGAGAAGGGAGCCAGGGTAGTCCTGGGATTGCGTAAGGTCACTCTGTGCAGGAGGTTTGTAGGACACAGCTGCAACAGGGGCTGATGGTTTCCTGGATTTGAGGAGACTGAATTAAGGCCTTGGGGAGGGCAACATGCATTTTGGTGTGCGGAGTCCCAAGAGGGTAGTACTGTGGAGATGCATGTGTCTTCTGGAGTCTTCAGCTGAGTCCTGAGGAGCATGTGCATGTCAGGAATCCATCTGTATCTGGGGGTATAGCCCAGGCTATGCATTCACACAGTGGTCATGGTGGCCAAAGTGCAAACAGGACCCTGCAGAGCATGCACAGGAGTGTTGTCAGGAGCCGTCACCTCAGGAGACATACAGCCTAACCTCAAGAGGACCACACTCCCCAGACATCCACGCCATGGCCTACAGCTGTGTGCAGGTGTTGGAAGGAATGAAAACACGTCTAGCACTGAACAAAGGTAGGATGTACAGTGTCTGTTATTTGGAAGTTAGCAGCATGCACAGGAGCCATGACAGTACGGACTGGGGAGGAAAATCAAGCAGAAGTGACACACATGGTGGAGGTAGGGGGTAAGGATATTGGCACAATTTGTTGCTGTATCCCACATGCTTAGGAAGATAGAGGAAAGCATCAGTCAGCATGGTAAGAAGAGACTCAGAAGAAAATTCAAAGTGAACATCTGGAGTTGCATACTACAGTGTCCAGGATGAAAAATAAACATTCACTGATGATTGGCAGCAGATTAGATACTGCTGAAGAAAAGGCGACTGAATTTGAAAAGATAACAATAGAAAGTATCTAGAAGGAACTCTAAGAAAAAAGGACTGAAAATTAAGATTAAACAATGAACAAAGGAGCTCCTTGTGTTGAGGGTCTTGCTCTGTTGCCCAGGCTAACTCTAAACTCCTGGACTTAATGAACCGCCCTCCCCTGGCTTCCAGGGTAGCTGGGACTCCTTGTGCACACCACCACACCTGCAAGCCTTTAGAAGTTTTTTGTTTATTTGTTTGTTTTGTCTTTTTGAGACAGAGTCTCCCTATGTAGTTTAGGCTGGCCTTGAGCTCTCTTTGTAGCCCAGGCAGGTCTCGAACTCGCACAATCCTCCTGCCTCAGCCTCCCGAGTGCTGGGATTACAGGTGTGTGCTACCATACCCGGCTGCCTTTAGAAGTTTTGACTTCTCATTCTGAACATTGTGGGCCATTCCTCTGTCTATGGCCCATCTCATCTAGTTCCATGGCTTTAGATCTCTTACGGGCTGGTGATGCCAAATCATATATCCAGTTGCACCCTATGCCGAGTGACTTACTCTGTGCTGGTGGAGTCTGCACTCTCTATGAACAGCATCCAGAGCGGACCTTTGGTTCTTGCCACTGGGCCGGCCCGTTCTGTCTCTGGTGTGTGTGTCATTGGCCTGACCTTCACTCACCCCTCTGGGTCCTCTCGAGTCCTACTCGGCATCCCTGAGTCTGACTGCTCTTTTTCCTCCTTGGCTCCCACTGAGCCTAAACCCCTCTTCTCCTCACTGCCTCTGGAGTTGCCTACAGCAGTGTTACTTGTCGCTCTGGAGCTTCTTTTTAAGATGGGGGCAGGAACCATAGCCATGTCAGAACCATAACCTGGTGGCTGCTGCTTGCCTGCCTTCTTTCTGTGCATGCCCACAGGCCCTGTCCTTGGGTTTTACGCACTGTCCCCTCTGCATTCACCTTGTCTCCCAGGTCTTCATGTGGCCATTTACTTCTTCTCTTAGGATTTGGGTCTTGGCTCTTGTTAAAATGCTGTCCTTGGCTGGGTATGATGGAGCACACTGTAGCCCCAGCTATCAGGAGGCTGAGGCAGGAGGATTGCTTGAGGCCAAAAGTTTGAGGACAGCCTGGGAAACCATGAAACCCTGTTTCAATGCAGAAGTAGAAACAAACAAAAACACTACCCTTCAGACCCAGTCCACACGCTTGCAAACTGTTTTCTTCATGGGTGAACACCAAATCTGACTTGGAGTTTGTGTGTTTACTGTGCTAATTGTGCTGTATCCCTGTGGTCTGTCCTAGAAGGCCTGGCTTAGGGTACATGTCAGGCATTTGTAGACTTGTCTTCTTTAGCAGCCAGGCACTTGTGCCACTGAGCTATATCCCTAACTATATCCCCTTGTCTCCTTTGGTTCAGAACTGTGTCACATGCTCTTTCCAGAGCCCCAGGCACTGCCCTTGATCCTTCTCCTCTCCCACACTTTGTCCACTCTCAATTTCTGTGTCCCTGGTCCAAGCCACTGCTGACTGTCCCCTGACCTCACGTCTTCCCTCCCATCTCTTCTCTGCACACAGCCCTGGAGTTGGTTCTCAGCCCCTATCCGTCAGCATCTCCTCTCTACCCTTTCCTCACCTGCCTAGCCATCTGACCTCCCAATTCAGGGCCCTTCTGTTTGCTTATTTCTGTGCTCTTTCCAAGGTGTCTTTGATGTGTCAGGGTCTCGGTCACTCCCTCAAGGAATCCTCACTACCATCCTGAGTAAAAGGGTACCATTCCCAGCATCAGATACTCCTTTCTGCTTCATATATTCCTCCTTGTCTAATGTGTGTTTTTGTTTACCTTACGTATTGTTTTTGTCTTTTATGAGAATATCAGCTCCTCAAGGGCAGAGATGTTTGCTTATTTATCAGTGTGCTTCAGTGCCCTGGTAGATGCTGGGCCCAGATAAATACAAAAAATCTGAAATTAAAAATGCTCCAAAATCTGAAATTTTTTTTGACTGCTGACATGACACTGCTAGTGGAAGTTTCCATCCCTGAGCTCATGTGATGAGTTGTAGTCAAATGCAGGTATGCTTAACATATTGTATAAGGTGACCTCCAGTCTGTATGTATAAGGTATATATGAAACAGATTTTCCATAAATATAAATTTTGGGTACCATCCTTATGATGATGGAACCAAATCATTTGGATAAGGGACACTCAATTACTGCTGGACAAGTGATGGATAGGTCGGGGCTGAGCAGAGTGTCCCCAGTCAGTTATGTTCTGTCCTGGACTTCGGAGGCCTGGAGCCCAGCATTTCCTTCTGTGGTAGATGGGCAGCTATGAGGTCTGATAGTTGTAACTGTTCTGTCAGTGATGGGGGCTAGGGAAAACAGGTGGCTACATGGGGGAAAATCAGTGTGAGGTGTTTGTTTTGTCTTTTGCCGGGTAGGGGTGGAGGCTGGTCCTGGGGACTGATCCCAAGACCTTCACACTGGGCTATATCCATAGCCCCTTTTTTAATTTTTTGAGACAGGGTTTTGCCAAGGTGCTCAGGCTGCAGTCCTCCTGCCTCAGCCTCCCAGAGTGCTGGGATTATAGGCCTGTGCCAGAACACCTAGCATGTCAGTGTGAGTTCTGAAGTTGTAATTTAGACTTTCCAGGTCTGTAGGTACAGAGAAAGTTGTCTGCCCTCCTGTACTCGGTGGTATGGGAGTCTGCAGCCTGCAGAGACACCAGTGGGAGACAGTAGCCAGTTCTCTCCCCATGTCCCCCAGACAGCATTCTAAGGCTTCATCACGTGGCTGCTGAACTATGTCTGGTTAAACCGTGTAGCTATGTTGGGTGCATGCAGTTTTGACCGCTGGTTTGCACAGGCGTCAGAGTGTATGAAGGCATTTTGCTTCAAAAGGTGCTGTCATTCTGAACTCACTTGTTCCTTTGTTCATGCAGCCCTGTTTAAGAACCTGCTGCCCTCATGGAGCCTGGGGACCACTTGAGAGTTCTCAGTTGACTGGGGGAGGGCAGTCATGTCAGCACAACTTGGTTGAGCACAGTGCCAGGATGGAGAGCGTGAGGCTAAGGGAGGAGCTTAGGAGCCAGTAGGGCTGGCTAGAGCCTCTGTAGAAAGCCACAGTGGCTTTGCTGTGGGTCCCATTCCTCTCTCCCACCTGATCGGTAGGCCACAAGGTGCACCAGTTAACAGGAGAGTCCCAGGGGTGCTCTGCCATGTGGCTCCCAGCACGACAGAGCTGGGCCAGCCTTGCATGGCCCCACCTTGGCCCTGTCCTGAGGCTCTCCAGGACCTGTACGTGTCCCTTGTCAGGCTCTCTGGGGGACCATGCACATCATCTGGTGCTGTCCTTAGGGCTCTAGGCCATTTCCAAGCCCTTGAACCCTGGCTTCTATCTGCATGCCTGTGTTTTTAATACTAATTTTACTTTTGGATAGAGTGCTTGGTGATCTTGGGATAGGATCCAGGATCATAACCTTGCCTCTTCTTCAGGTCCTCACCCCCACCTTATTCCCGCAGTTTAGGGTCTCTTTGAAAAGCACTAGTTGAAATCAGGTATTTGGGAGTGAATGCAGTGTTGCTTATTGCAGAGCCTGGACGGGGGCTGGGTCTTGTGTGTATGGCTGTCATCGTGCTCCTGTGCTTTGTATGGAATCCACACCCTGGCTAGCCTGTCTCAGTGATGATCTCAGCAGAACTGCCACCTCAGTGTGAGCCCTGTGGGCTGGTCCCTAGTGGCTTCAAGCCCTTTTTGGTGGAGAGTACCTCTGAAAATTGAGACTGGCAGTTTCTCCCTGGGGGGAGTGATCCCAAAGTCCAGGTGAAGGGCTAAACAGACACCTTCTGACAAAGATTTTCTGTATGGTGTTATGTTTTATTTGAAGTGTAATGCATTTCTGGAGCACTAGTTTCAGTTTTATTCAAGTTTCCTATTTTATGATTCTCTACATAAACATACATGTGCATTTTATTTTAGAACTAAGTATATTTTTAAACAATCTTGGCTTTGTGGATCAGGTTTTGAAAACAGAATTTTTTTTTCTGTTCCAGACTCCTTTTAGTTTTGGCATGAATCATAGGACACCACCCTACCCCGCTGGGGATTATTGTCTTCTGTGCAGAAGTGAACGGAAAGACTCTTCATTCTTAGAGAGTGGAGTTAAGACTGCGAGCAAACTGGCCCTTTCCATGGCTCCCAAGGGCAACAGCGTGCTGCACCTGCCGCTGTGGGTGTGCCCAGACTGCCGGAGGACTGTGGAGAAGGAAGAGAGGCATGGCGGCCTTGACCAGCCGGTGAGTGGCTGCCGGGGAGCGGGCACGGCGCGCCTCCCTGTGGGCTGTGGGCTCACCGGCAGCAGAAGGGAAGGAACGCACCTGCTGCAGGGTGCTCTCTGCAGTGCTGTCTGGATTTCCCTCCTGGCCTCTGCTGGCCATGCCTGACAGAGTCAGCCAGCTGGCAGTCCACAGGGTGTTTTGGCTTTGTTAGTCTGGGCTCAGGATTTTGTGAGTGAAGCACTTTCCTGAGGAGCTAGCAAGCCTTTCATGTGTTTGGTTCTAGACAATTCCATGTGCTAGCAATGCCTGGAACTCTCTCCCAGATGCAGTTCTGTAGCTTGGCTTTCCTTCTCCCTTTTCTCCATTCCTTGGGTGAGCTTGGCTTAATAGAGGCTATCTGGAGGTCATTCAGCCTGCAGGAGAACCATACTCTTTACCTGACCTTTGACCTGGGAGGCTTCCACATCTGCCTGGATTCTAGGAATTGGCTGATGCCACTGCATAAGGCCCCACTTTTGAGCTGTTTCCTTTGATTTCTGCTGCAGGTAACTGTTTCAGCTTTTTCATCTGATCCCTTGCTGTAGGTGGCCAGTAACACATAGCACTTGCTGCCTTGTTTTCTAATCTGGGCTTGCTTTCCAGTTAGTCCCTGTGACAGTGTGAGAGTGCTTGGCTGCTGTGTGGATAGCTCTCCACCACCTCACCCATCAACCAGCACCAGTCCCTGCATCTCTCCTTCCTTTGCTGACAAACCCCTTCCTGCAGTCCCTGTTTCCTCGGACTTGCTTCCAACGTACCGTATATTTCACTGCTTATTTTGCCTTTTGGAGTACAGGCTCTGAGAAGGCAGCTGTTCTTGTGTACTTTCTGCCTAACATGCACAGGTACTCAAAATATTTGAGTTAATGACAAAGTGAATGGATGAACAGAGGAGTGAACCTAGAGGATGGAGAGAGCAGTTAGTTAGTCTGTGTTTTGGTCTCCTCAGACCTTGCTTTAATAATTTTTCACGTTTTCTGTGTTCATTTAACATATTTGGTTTTTTCTGTATTGTGTTTAATGGAAGGCTGTTTACTATTATTGACATGTTTGTTTTCTGTGCATTTCCATTTGGAATTCTTGTCTTTACACCAACTGAAGCTTTTTTTCTTTTTTTTCTTTTTGTTTTGTGTGTTATGTGTGTACTGGACTTCATTACTTCTGATTTCAGCCTTGCCTTGGTACTCGGTCTGCCTGTGTCCTTAGGCAGGCCCTTGTTCCCTTGGGGCTATATGCTGGAGACAGCCCTCTATCCAGCAGGCTTGTTCTTCTCACCCAGTGTGGCAGCCTGGGCTGCCACTGAGGTGCAGTGCTGGCCAGCATGCACCCATAGACACCTGTGGCCTTTGCGGGGTGAAAATTGGGGGCCTCGGGCCAGGCAAATGTGAGATCCTAGATTCGAATCCCGGTACCTAAAAAATAGAATAAAATAAAATAAAATTGGAGGCCTCTTAAGACAGCGATAAATAATTTACTTTCAGTATAAGTTCAATTTTCTTCATAAAACAAAACACTGACTGTGACTAGATTGCAGAATCTACATAGAACTCCCTTGCTCCCCCTGGTGGTCAGCCTCTTGTTATTATAGGCTTGACTTTTGTCCCCACAGCTCTGCTTTTTTAAGTGTCACATAAACAACAACTTCTTCCTCTCCTCCTCCTCCTCCTCTTCTTTTTCTTTTTTCTTCTTTTGGTGTGTATGTGTGTCTTTGAGACAGGATTTTGCTATGCAGTTCAGGATGGCCTTGAACTAACTTTGTAGCCTGGCCTTGAGCCCCACCCCCCATCCTCCTGCCTCAGCCTCCCCAGTGCCTGGATTGCAGATGTTCACCACCACACCCAGCCTCACTTAAACTTCTGTCACTTGACACAGTGCTCTTGAGAGTGATCCATGTTGTTGTTTGCATCAGTAGTTTGCTCCTTTTTATTGTTGAAAAAATTGTACAGGTAGAGCTGTGTGTGGTGAAGCACACCTACAGTGTTAGCATACTAGAGGGTTGGAGGCAGACTGTTAAGTTTCAGCTCAGCCTGGGCAATGTAGTGATTTAGTAAGACCCTGTTTCAAAGGAAAAAATTTAAAAAGGGCTGGAGGTGTAACTCAGTGGGAAGACCCAGATTCAACCTCTAGGACTGTTAAGAAAAAAAAAAAAAAAACAACCCAAAACAGTATAGATACAGAAGTTTACCCACTCTGCAGTTAACCCATGGCCCTTTGGGTTGTTTTCGGAATTGTGCTGTTTTGAAAAGAGCTGCTGTGAGTGCTTCTGAATGTGTCTTCCTGAGGGCATCCCTTTTACATGTCATTGCGTTGGTTTGCTGGAGTTTGCTAAGGCTTTGTGTCTGTGCGTGTGAAAGGTGACTATAGTCTTTTTGTCTCATGATGACCTTTAGGGCCTCATAAGACGAGGTGAGGTGTGTCCGTGTTCCTGTTCTTTCGCCTTCTGGGAGTATATGTAGAATTGGCATTGCTGTGTTTTCCTTAAGCTTCAGTCTTACTTTGTGCTCCTCTTGTATTGTCTGGTCCAGTGTTGCACAGTGCGTAGAGAGCGCCAGGTGGAGACTGTCACTGTGGTGTCTACATGGTAGGCTGAGCCAGTGCTTGGGCCAGCTCATCTCCAGTGGCATACACTGCAGCATGGTGCTGTTGTGGGCCTGGAACAGGCTGCCTGTCTATCTACTTCCTGCTTATGACTCCTGGGAAGGAGTGGGAATATCCCTGTGTTTGGGGTTTCCTGGGGTTAGACTCCCACTGTCACCATGCTTGCTTGTTCCTTTCTTCCTGCTGTATAGTCTCTTTCCACCTTCTTCCTCTGCCAGAGGTGAGTCCCTTTTCCTTAGGGCTTGTTGCACCGTGTCATACAGTTGATCTGCTCTTGGTGACCCCATGTTGGGGTTTTATAGATTGCCTGGCTCTTTCTGTCCCTAGGGTAGGAGCTCTGAGTGCACTCCCTGCTCCCACTGTGGGGAACTGGGACTGACCTGTTCTCTCTTCGGTGAACATCCTTTCACATGCAGCAGGAGGAGAGTGGAGGCTCCTCCCTGCTCACAGTTCGCATCCAGACTTCCTCAGAGACCTCTTCTGTAGCACTTCCCTTCCAGCTCATGTTCTGCACACTATCCTGCCCAGAAACCTAGACTTCATGTAAACTGTTCAGTTTGATCCTAATGGCAAGTGAACCCCAGACCTTTAGGACTTGATTGTCCTCTTTTTTATGTGTGTGAGGTTACTGGGAATCACACCCAGCAACCCTTTACCACTGAGCCACATCCCCAGCCCAGGTTCTTGGCATATTGTCCAGGCTGCCTGCAACTCATGATATTCCTGCCTCGGCCTCCTGAGTATCTGATGTGTATTACTGTGCCCAGCTCTGCTCTCTTCTTTTGCCTTGGTTCTCAAACACTGCCATACATGTCTGGAGGTGTATATTCTGGTCCACTTTCCCCAGTGGATAAGGTCTTCTGGGGTTTGTTTTGCTAAGTTCCATATTTTAGAAATTGTCAAAGCTAGCAGGACAGAGTTGCTTGTAGGGTGTCTTCAATTCCTGTCTTGTCTGTAGATAGGACTTTTTAAAAAAAAATTTCTTGTACTTGTGCTTTCTAAGTCAGATTTTTAAGGACTCTGTCATTTTGTCTTTTCAAAGAAACAGTTTTTAATTTCTAAAATATTACTTTTTTTACTTTGTTATTCTGTTTCATACACACATTAGAAAAAGCATGAGAACATGGAAGAGAACAGTGCAAAGCCCATTTCCTCTAGCACCTGCCTCGTCTCCTGCCCTCCCTGTCTTCTTCCCTCCCTGTCTCCCTCTCTGGGAGGGCAGTGTCCTGACCGATGGTGTTGATTGGAAGGGGTTGGGGCAGGTACCAGTGTCTTGAGCTGCATCGTTCTCTGGGTTTCCACTTAGAGGAAGGTGTGCCAGACTGCAGCCAGACAGCCTGCAGGGTTCCTACCCTAGGGTGTGCACAGCAGCGGTGGTGCTGCTCTTTGGGCCTCTTTTAAGAGTGCTGCTTAATGGGTCTGTGGCTCCTGAACCTCAGGTGCCAGCTTCGCTGTGAGTCAGGCTCCTTTTCTATGGTGAGCAGACTGTAGATGCCAGGGGATACTTGCTTTGCACTGTTGTCTTTTTGTCTCTGACTTTTTTTTAACAATCATGTGTCCCTGTAGCATTTCTGTTCTGATCCTGCGTGGAGCCTGCAGGAGCTTCAACTGCATTATCCCTGCCTGCTTTCCTCCCAGTGCTACTTGGTAGGGGGCTCATTGATCTGTTTTCTTTACAGTTAGTCTTCTGCTTTGGAACCCAGGACCTTTGCATTGAGCTACATTCCCCACCCTTCATTTATTTACTTGTTTGAGTCAGGGACTCATGAAGTTGTCCAGGTTGGGGTCAGCCTCTCAGAGTGCTGGGCTTGCAGGCGGATGCCATCGTACCTGGCTGTGGCTGAGCTCTTTTAAAGGCTTTTGTTCTGCATGTGTCTTTGTCCATCTTTCCTTACAAATATTCCCTTCTGAGATTGTGCTGGTGACCACCAAGTGAACTTCCTGACTCTGGCTGCCTGGGTCTTTTACTGGCCTGGGACCATCTGTGGGAGACACTCTTCTGAAGCATTGTGGCAAGTTGGCCAGTTCTTCTCCCTCCTCCTGCATCCTTTTGCTCCCCATCTTTGATAGTTGGTTTTAGGTATCCTTGTGCAATCAGCAGAGAGGTGGACTCTATTTGTTCTCCACTCAGTCTACTTAATGTTGAAATTAATTCTTGTCACTTCCTATGATTGATGATATATTTGAGTTGTTTCTGCTACCATATAGGTCAAAGATAAATCATTGCCCTCACCAGAGCCCTGGCCCTAGAGTCTGCCTTCCTGCTGAACTGTCTCTTACTTCTGCTAGTTACATCACTCAGGTATCTAAATCTAGTATTGTAGTTTGGCTTTTCTGGTGTTTTGAATTTTATAAAGTATAATCATACATATTCAGCATTA